CTAAAACTTTCATGACTAAATTTTTGGTGTGGAGCAGTACAATAAATTTTGTAATGTTTAATTCGTGCATGTGCTCTTACAATGCCAAAATGTAGACATTGATAGGAACTTATATTGTACTTCTCTTAAATAATTGTGTTATTCATATCGAAGATAAATAATTATCCGTTATTTGCAATTCACTAATAACTCAAATAATTTAAATTCACAGTATCAAACATTTATTACTAAAAAGTACCCTTTTAAAAAATATTCATAGAGTAAAAATTTTGAATTTTCGAGTAAAAATGAAGGAGGATACTATTTAAGTAAAATATCAAAACTAATCAAATCGTCGATGCTTATATTTTTTTTTAAAATTTACTTGATTTCATTTTATGCCACACCACAACGTAAAATTAATTAATAAACCACACATTTTTGAGTGATTTTCTTAGTCTTGAAACGAAACTATTCATATTAGAAAAACTCTTGCTTTAGGTTTGTTAATTTCAATTTTCAAACAATTTCTCGTGAAACATATTTGAATATTATGACACTTTTTAGTCTTGTGAGTAATGTGAATGGGGAAAAAAGTCCAAAAATAAATAAAATTGGTAGTCCCTCCCACTTAATTTGTGCATTAAGTTATGCTTTTTAGACTTTGGTGGTGATTGTATACAAATAATAATTTTTGGTCTAAATTTCCAACAACTTCCTAAAAAGCTTTTAAGAAACTGCCAATGGGGGCCCTAAAGAAAAGTAAATTCTTCAAACTAATTTTTCCATGAAAGACTTTTTTTTTTAATTTGATGACTTTTGTTGTCTGCTATAATTGATAGTGTCATTAAGAGTATTTGTTTATTGGAGAATTATATATATTTTCGGTTAATTAAGAAAGGTTTGTCTGTTGGCCACGCTTAAGAAAATTAAATAAATATAAAGTTAAAAGACAAAAAATGTCATCTAAATAAAGGGATGGAATCTTTCAAGAAAAAGACATAATTATTTTAGTTACAGAGACATAAGCGCCGAATTTTCAGTATGTTTAGTGATTTGTTTGGATTTTGCTTTTGTAATTTGGATTATATTTAGACATCACTATTAAGAAAAAAAATTAGTGATCATTGATTTTTTTTTGATGTTATCGAAAAGTACTTAGAAATTAAAATGTTGATTATAAATATTTATTCTATTATATTATTGTGACTAAACTCACTCTTGGATTAGCCCCCAACCCACCTAGAGATCTGGTTACTTTTAAACTGTGTGAAATTTTGACCTAGATTGGCGCCAATGTTTTGTTGGTTACTTCAGTATACAGAAGTCATTTGTTCTTTCATTTTCTTTTTTGTTATGAAATTAAAATAGTGTATGGTGAATGATTAACAAGCATGAAAAAATAGGGTGAGGTTACTTTTTTTAAGAAAAAATTATCAGGCAAGTATATTTTACCTAGCTGGTACTTTTGTGGTTAGAGTCCGCTTTAAAAGTTGATTAAATATATTTTAAAGTTAATTTTAGTTTTTAAGAGTGTTTGATAAAGTTAAAAATAACTTAAAATAAATCAAGAGTAGCACGTTTTCTATTTTTATTTTCTGACTTAAAAATTATTATTTTTCAATCCAAACAGGCTTTTGAAATTGTTGTATTTTCTATTAAGATTTTTTTTGTAGTAGAAATTTTCTAATTAAAGATGAGAGGACCAGTAAAAACTTATTTCCATTTAATATTTACACAAAATAAAATCAATATATTAAATGCACATAGTTAAGTAACAAAAAGTATTCAAAGGACATGTCATCATAATCTTTTTAATGTCATGATAATGCTTAAATAATTAAAGGTCAATACGCTATAATGTTTGAATTTAAATCTAATAACTTTTTTTTGGTTCCATTTTCTCCTAATAACTTTGCGAAAGAAAATCATTTTGGAACTTCGAAAATGTTAAACTTTTTAGAATTTGATAAACTTAAAACACCAATTTTCATAAAAAATTGCTATGTCCTCTTTGCTTAATAAATACCATGTACTTTTGAAAGCAAGGCAAAGAGAATTAGGGGAAAGAAAGTACTCCAACGACTTTCCTTTTATTTTAATTATTATATAAAAAAAATTATATTTAAAAAGATAAACTATTTCCTCCCTGTTTATATCTCAAACAGAATTTGTGGATCCTTATTTACATTATTTTTCTACTTTATAGGACCCCGAAATTATAATTTTCCCTTCTCTCTTTATATTCGTTGGTAATTAATTATGTACTAATTTCCATCCCTTTCTTATTTTCCAAAAAAATGAAAAAAAGAAGAAGAGGAAGCTAGGTACAATTAATTAAATGTTATTGCTTTATAAGGTATGATAATAAAGGGTCTAATTTTAGATTGCAAATTAATTGAAGAAGGTCCCCTACCATATTCAATATTGTTTGATTAATTAAAATGCATAACAATAATAATTGAATTTATGCCATGTGATGTTGTCTTGTAATTTAAGGACTTCACAATCAATATTACTTTTGAAATATGATGGCCATTTATTAGCCTCTTTTTTTCTTTTTTTACTTCTTCGTTCACCTCTAAAGCAATCTTCTCATTACTACTCTTGAATTATTCAAGCATTAAACTTGGGCCACAAAAATTTGGTACCTACCATAATTCTCATTATCTATTTTTTTTTCAACTGCCTATTAAAATGGGAAAACACCAAAATCTCACCCATGTTATGTCACATCTTGTAATTATATTTATGTCAAATTTTTAAAATTTAATCTTCCTTTTGGCCAGCCATTAGTAGTAGTAGCAGACCGCTTTGTCGTTTGATTAGGGCGTAATTAGTAGGCATGCTAATCTAAAATAAGATTTTTTTCCTTAATTATCTTAGTGAAATATATAAAATATTTATTCGTTTCTACTCATTTATAAATTTGTCTCGTTATATTATGTTGTACTGTTAGTTTAAATACAATATTTATATTTATTGTTACTTAAATTTTATTGTATTGTGTAGTTAAAATTCAGCATTAGATAATTATGAAAAGTTTCATATTTGGTGTGCTTGCATATTACCTTAATAGTTTCTTTCTCATTTTGTCTTTATTTATTGTTTAATAGTTATATTTCATCTTTATTCGACCTTTTTATAATAACTCTACTTTATACCTAATAGATTTCTCATTTTGACATTATGTAATTAAAGGAGAATGGTAATGTTATATTCATTACAATGATATCATTCAAATGTAATACGATATATTATAAAATAATACATAGAAACCCTCCGAACAATGTGTTAACATTTATATATTTCAGCTTTAAAATGCGGTTGACATTTATGAGATAAAACAAAAAATTATTTTGAGAAATAAATATAGAAAAAAGTTTAGAGATGTTTGTCGTGATGTCAAGGAGAATTGAATGTATGGATGAAGTGTTCACTCGTGTCAATTTTTATATGTTTGAAGAGTAGAGACAGCAACATTCCATGTGCTAACTGGTTTATACACATGTTATGATCATGCTCCCATAAAACATCATGGATCTACCCATGTCTTTTCAATTTCAACCCAAAAAAAATATTTCTTCTTTAGACCACAAATGATAATACTTGCATAAAACATCATGGATCTACCCATGTCTTTTCAATTTTCTCATTTATTGACTATATATGTAAAAGAAAATAAAGGCTAATAACTACTGATTGAGTCTTGATATATACAATTATCACATGCAACTTCCATACGCTATACTATATAGAATAGTTGATACAGTCAAAACACTTCAAAACATGTTATTATTTTTCTACAATTTGTGCATATAATCATGGTTGAATTACATTTTTTCTAGTTAAAAGTAACAATACCTAGAAGATTTACAAGTGTAATTTCATCACAAGGTTGGAGGTTTCGAGTAATATGTTTTAGGCCCATAATATTGTTGTTGCTTTGTCTAAAACTTTATAGGGATAATTGTATATAATAACGAATTAATAATTTAAAATAAATGGAGTAGCTACTTTAATTGTGCCCCATATCAAACATTTGCCAAAGTTTGCCAGTCGCCTCTCTCCCAAAACTCTCCCTCTGCTCGCCTCTCTCGCTTTATACAACAGAAGTGTATAAATTGTGTTTCTATTTTGTATAAAGCAAGAGAAAATTGAATATACACATGCAAAAACATATATCTTCGTGTTATACACTTAATTATACAATTTACAAACATTTTACTTCGATTCAATTGTATACAAATGCAAATTTTATACAAATATTGCAGCGAAAAAGGCCAACGAATTATACAATTGCAGTGAAATACAATTTTCTCTCGCTTTATACAACAGAAATGTATAAATTGTGTTTCTGTTTTTGTATAAAGCGAGAGAAAAACATATATTTTCTTCCTATACACTTATAATTATACAATATACAAACATTTTACTTCGATTCAATTTTATGCAAAGCAAAATTTATACACATATTGCAGCGAAATAAGCCAGCGAATTATACAATTGCAACGGAATAGGTCAGCGAATTATACAATTTAAGCCAGCGAATCATACAATTGTATATGTATAGCGAGGCCAACGAACTATACAATTTAGGCCAACGAATTATACAGTTGTATATGTATAGCGAATTATACATTTATATGTTTGCTATGGAGCGCAGTTATTCAAACTTTGTTAAAGTATACAAATATGAATTTTTTGTTTGTTATATGTGAAATTTGCCCAAGTTTATAAACCAAAATAAATTGGGCTCAACTTAGGTAATAATAACACACCCCATCTAACCCTTTAGTACCATTTTCTTCTCTCTCAATCCATTTCTAAAGTCTTGCATATTTGGTTCTTGGGATGAAGGAACATTTGTAATAAGAAGGGTGTTTTGATAAACTTATAACTTGATTAAACTTGTTTAAAAGCAATTTATGGTTTATTGTTTTTAGTAGACCAAGCTTATTATAAGGAGAAAAAAAAATGTTTATCAACATTCTTTTACTGTTTGCCATAGATTTCAATACTTGTATTCAAAAACGCAAGTATTTATTCTTTTTTTGTGCTTCATAAATTGTTATATATAGATAATCGAAGGATTTTTGTACATTTTTTCTTTTACATATTTTTCTACAACATTTACTTGACCAACAAGAACCAGAGTGCCAGTTGGGATGATAAAAGCTATAATAACTTAGATAAGTTGTTTCAGCGCATCACAGCAAACTGATTCCTCCTGTTCCATTGGAAAGTTTGGTCCATTTCATCTATTTCCTTAGTAGCACTGCTCCATGTTAGCTTGAGCTTGGCCATTGTTCTCTTCCTTGCAGCAACTCCAATTTTGTCTCCATAATCCTGCAAAGAGAGAAACGAAATTTTATCTTATTACATTGGGAGAAAAGAGGAAGGAGAAGGGGTGTGACTTGTGTGTATGTGTGAAAGACCTCACAAGTACGACTAGATTATATGTCTCGGTGATATGAAGAAGCTATTGAAGATTTAAGTAATACCTTGTGGCAGAGGCCTTGTAAAACATCACAATATGGGAAGTCTTGAGGGCAGCATAATCTTGAATTCTCACAGCAAACACCATTTTCAATAGGACAGCATCCATGAACTAAGCACTTGCCAAAGAAATCTAAGCCGCAGCAGCATGTTTGACCTTCTGGACAGTAATGTAAGCCGTCTTCACATATATTTGGTTTTGGAGGGGATGGTGGAGCGGAAGACGATTCTTTCATGGGATAAGAAGCCAGTGAATTAATACCACATATCCCATATGGCAAAACAGTGTTCCTTTTTATATATGCATACCCCTCCATGCCCCAAGATTTTCCCCATGAGTTCTTGATAATCCAATAGTCAACTCCTCCTTCAGAACCGTATCCTACAATTAGTACTGCATGGGATAAGTCATCTGGATTACTAGAGCATTCTCCATCATAGATTCCCTGCGCATTAACCCCAAAACAGAGAAAGGGGAAGAGCTTAATATCGGGACTTGTCGAAAGAAGTAACAATATATATGAGTTACCCCTGCATATAGCTGAAAATCAAGGCTTTTTCCATCAATGCCTACACTGACAGGTTGTCTAGCAACAGCACAAAGTAGGGCACTTTCTTCTTGTGCAACATCTTGATATCCATCAATTGTTACAGCCTTCTTGTTCAACTGTTTGAGTAAAAATGATCAACATTTTCTCTTAAAAATGAAAAAGCTAAAAGAAACAAAGATGTTATGGGAAATTGCAGCCATCACATGCCTTGTTGTAACTGCAAGAGCCTCGAGATTTGGTGTATGGATAATCAGCTGCTGAATCAATGCCCCTATTGTTGATCACAAATTTAAAAGCAGGGTCCATAAGTCCACCTTCACACCCTTTATTAGATGTGTCACAGTTGACAAGTTCTTGAGTTGAAAGGCTAATAAGTTCACCAGTGACCAATGCATTTATTCCTTCAATGGCTCCACATGCGGAAAATGCCCAACAACATCCTGCATTTGAAATGCAGAGAATGAAAGATATTTGCAAAAGGTACATATTTTCAGGCTCACTGATATCCCAAGGCATCATTGGTTCAGCTGCCTAATTTGGGATAGAACTCTCGGAAGCTTTGGTACTATACCATCCTTCTACTAGATAACCACTAGATCAACAAAGTGCTTACAATGGAAGTGATACTCCTGATTTTAACTCATTTTCCCCCATAAAAATAGGCATCAACAAATTGGGAACTAAAGATCTATGAACTAAATGGTGCTACTATTGTGCCTCTCTTTTGTTCAAAACAAGACTGCCATGTATAATATCGAGTTTAAGCTCTATGCAGTGACAAAGTAAAAGATCTTTACACAATCATGTCACTTATAAGGTAAATTACAAGTAAATGTCCATGATAAGCCTTAAACCATGATCCTCTAAAAATGGGAAATTGTGAAAAGACTGAATTAATATGCAGAAGAGATTAGCACAGCTTACCACATGCTCCTTGATTCTTAACCTCAGTGACAACCCCATGTTTCCTCCAATCCTTAGCAGGAGGAGCATCACATGAATTCGCAGAAATAGTGGTCTTGTTCTGCTGTTTAAAAGGCATCTTAATCTTTGAAGTATGAACTTGACTGAACTCTTCATTGCTCATATCAGCAAAATTGTTCAAACCAACTAAATGGTCTGATTCTGACCTTCTCTTTGAGTTCTTGTCCACTATATACTTCACATTCCTTTTAAAATTCTCCAACCTCCTTTCTTCCTCTTTCTCATTCTTGTAAATTTTCCCATGCTTCTGTTTCCATTCTTGGAATAGTTGGAAAACTCTTTCTTCTGTAAGCAACTCTTGCGGCTTGTCTAATTCTGGAAAATAAGTAGTAAAAGCAGAAACTTGAGATGATAATGTTGCTAAGATCAAGAAAAGTGGGAAACTAAGAAGAAGAAAAAGGTAGGATTTTTGTGTATTTTCCATGTTTTATTTTAGTAACACAATGCAATAAAGGACTTTGAGATTCTTGTGTTATACATAGCTTTTGGAAAGATGACCCTTATGGTCATGAATAAAGTTAGCAAGTGGAACAAGCGCACAAACTTTTATCTGTGAATTATTTGATGGAACAATTATGTAACGATATTTTTGAAGAGGCTAGTGAGAGATATTTTGAGTGCACTTGCTCCTATAACTTTATCCTGTTAAGATACTAATAAGTTTATTGGATATTTATTCCTAAGAGACTGTGATAGATAGATGTATTCTTATCTTCACTCCATAACATTTCTCATCCACACCTTGTTATCCAATAATCAGAAACTCCATAGGATATTAAGCCAAGCTGATAAAATCATCAATCTTTCTGTCTAAATTCCAATATTTATATATATCAAATTCCTGAAATATAATTCCCTGGACCCCAATTTCGAATTTTGTAAGTATTTTGGGGCCCATTACCACTAGAAATGAATAGCACACATCCTTTCTAGATCTTATGCAATTTGAGAAATATTTGGTGTAAGAATTATGTATTAGCCTATTTAAAACGTAAAAAAGCAATTCTACTTATAGCAGCAAACACAGTTTATCTCTCTCCCAACTAACGCAGTATTAAGAAAGAAACCGTAAGAAGGAAAAATATTTTATTTACTGCAACAAAGTTGAATTACAAATTAGTAATAAATTTGTGACCGTTCATGTGATGACATATAAAGTGAAATAGATACTAGTAATTTTAACTAATTTATGGCATGTCCTCCATAAGAGTAAGCGCATGTTTTTTGTGGTACATTATCACACCGAGATATTTATTTTACTTCAAAAGATTAAAGTGACAATAGGAAACACAAAGTACAAGTGACAAGTCTGAGGAGTATTATTTATGTCTTTTTCCTTGTTTTCGTGGTTAAGAAATGATTCTCTCAATGCATTGTATCAATAAAAGGAAATTGCCCTTCTTTAGCATCTAGTGACCAAAAGGTAATTCATGTAAAATGAATGTTACTCATTTTCTCTTTCTTAAATTAAGTGATTTTTGTTTTCTAGATTGTATGGTAAATTTATAAGCTAATAAATTAATGTCCACAATATTACATACTTTAGTATTTCTTCTTTTCATATTTTTTAATGATAAAATGATATTTTGATGGTAATAACAGTTCAAGCTTTATGGCATAATAATAGACAAGTTCAAATCTAAAGACAATTAAGATATAGAATAAAGCAAGTGTATGATTAGAGCATGTTTTTACTTGTCCAACTAGTTATTAATAAAAATGGATAGCATTATCTATAATATATCAGGAAGCTAAAGACGAAAATTTAAACTTGTAGGCTTATTGTATTTTGTTTGAAGAATAATCAATTCCTTTTTTCGTATAAAATTCATGATTTTAGTTTTATGGACTTAGTATGAGAAAACAAAAAAATAAGGATCGATTTATCTTCAAAAAAACAAAATAAAAAAAAAATACAATAAACCTACAAGCTTTATGATCCATTTCAGTCTTTGGCTTATTGATTAGTTGTCGATAGTACTCTCCGTTTTCATTAATAATTAGTAGGCAAACAAAAGATGCTCTAATTATTTACTTTATCTTTGATTAACTTTAGGTTTGAACTTGTCTACTATATGAAATAAAGTTTGAAATGTCACAAAGTGAGTTATTACTTTTTTTTTTTTTTGGAGCGAGGTAAAGTTAACACAAAGTGAGTTATTGCTATCAGAATATCATTTTGTCACAAAAATTATTTAAAGAAAGAAATATTGAAGTACTTAATATTGTGGACATAACATATGTACTTTTTCTATATCAAATTATTTTATTTTCATTTTTTAGCTTATACAGTGTCTACTTCTACAAAATCATAATTGCTATTGAAACCATCTCTAAGTTCAGAAAAAGAAAAACGAAAAAGTTTTAGAGTTGCCTTCACTGTCAGATGCGAAAGAAGGGCACGTTCCTCTTCTGCAACATCTATATAGTTGAAAATCAAGGATGCTCCCATTGATGTCCACACAAATAGGGGCACTTTCCTCTTCTGCAGCATCTTGGAGTCAATCAATTGTTACAACCTTTTGGTGGTTCACCTGTTGAGGAAAATATTTGAACAATGATCACGTGGCTAAAGGCAAATATTTGAAAAATGGATAGAAGACATGATCATCACATGCCTTGTTGTAATTTCAAGTGCCTTGACAGTGTTTGGATAATCAGAAGCTGAATCAATGGTGCCAGTGTTGATCACTCATTCAAAAGCAGGGTTCAAAAGTCCACCTTGATCACGGTCATTATTGTATTGAATTATCACAATCAATAAGTTCTTGAGCAGAAAGGCTAATAAGTTCACAATCTTCCAGTTAAATCAAAATTCCTTAAACAGAACAAAGTCCATTGATATAATCCTACAATGCATGAACTGTTATGAAGTGCAAAAAGAGAGACGGTAAGAAATATTTATGTGCAATTTTAATGTTCTCTAAGATCAGGAACAAAACAGATAATAAAAAGATAAGAGGATATTACAAGGGTTGATGATAAAACAGTAGATTCTACAAGTAGTGTTATATGCACATTATATAAGGGCAAACTTGGATTCACCTACCTGGCAATACCAATGTACCATTCACGGTCATGAGCTGCTTTAACACATAATCACTGTCCAGACAACAGCAGTTACCTTATGAGCAAGTTTTTGCTTCACTCTTCTGGTTACAACTTGCAGACTTCCATTCCAGCTCTGTATGCGTTCTGTTGCAGATGCAAAGGATTTTCCAGACATTGGAGTGATTTTCTCATCTGCCATACAGTCCTGCAAATCCACCTTACAGCCCTAAACCAGAAGTGATTTTGGGAATGTATGTTTGGCAGTTTAACATACATGCTTATGTCAATTATCTGAGTCAAGACAAAATGATGTCATAGCAGGCATATGGCCCATATCCATCATCTGAGTAGTTAAAGTGAACAACATGTTAGAGTTCTCCACTGACTGCACTGAAGTATCACCACAAAGAAAAACAAGTAACTGATTCCTATCCTCAACCCAGCTGCATCCTGGTAGTCTGCCTGCTCCACTCTTTTTCATTGTTTCCCTAACTCTCTCCACATCACCCCATCTTCCTAGCTCAGCATACATGTTTGATAAGACAACCAGATTTGTCGACGTGTGAGGTTCAAGTTCAAGAAGCTTCTCAATAGCACAGCCAGCAATTTTTATATTGTTATGCATGCGACAAGCCTCAAATAGGGAACCCCACATTTCTACAGTGACATTTTCTTTCATACCCTTTATTAGAAGGAAAGCTTCTTCTAACCTCCCTGCTCTCCCAAGTAAGTCAACCATGCAAGCATAGCGTTCACATGAAGGAGTAATAGAATACTTTCTGGTCATGTGCTCAAACAAATTTGCACCAGCATCACTCAAGCCAGCATGCTTACATGCAGATAAAACACTAACAAATGTGACTTCATCAGGAACGACTTCTTTATCTTCCATTTCTTGAAAAAGTTTGACAGCCTCCTGCCCGCATCCATTTAAAGCATATCCAGCAAGCAAGGAATTCCAGGATATAACATCAGCATTGTCAACATCTTCAAACATCTTTTCTGCATCAAAGATCTTTCCACACTTTGCATACATAATAATTAAAGCATTACAAACTGATAAATTTTTCACATAACCGGTTTTTATAGCCGCTTGATGAAGTTGCTTGCCGATATGCTCAGCTGCAAGATTGGAACAGGAACTTAATGTTGAAGCAAACGTAGAATGATCTGGTTTTTTGCCATCACGTGTCATCGTGATGAAATATTTAAGTGCATCTACATAAAAACCATTTTGGGTATAACCTGAAATTAGAGAATTCCAAGAAATTACATTTCTTTCCCCCATATTCTTAAAGATCTCAAGTGCTTTTTCCATTTGTCCCACTTGAGCATAACCTGCTATCATTGTATTCCAAACAACTATGCTCTTTGGTTCCATCTTTTCAAACAGACCAAAAGCTTCATCAATCCGTCCACATTGAGCATAGCCTACAATCATTGTATTCCAACAAACAACATCACGAGTAGCAGTTCGGTCAAATACCCAACGAGCTTTATCCATTATGTTGTTTTGGATGTACCCTGAAATCATTGCTGTTCGTGCACCAACATTTTTGTATGGCATTTGATCCAACAAATCTCTTGCTTCTTTTAGCTTTCCAACACGACAATAACCATCAATCATAGTTGTATAAGCCACGGCACTTCTCTGAGACATTCTATTAAATAATGAAGCAGCCATGTCAATTTTTTCATTCTGGACATATGCAGCTAACATGGCATTCCAAGCAACCTCATTTTTCTCCGGTATTTGGTCAAAAATCATTTCAGCCTCCAATATCATCCCATATCGTGCAAATCCACTCAGCATTGTCACCCATGAAACAACATTTGGACTAGGAATCTTAGCAAAAACCTCTTTAGCAGAATCCAAATCTCCAACCTCAATAAACCCACCCAATAATAAGTTCCAAGAAACGACGTCCTTCTCTTCCATATCCTCAAAAAATTTCAATCCAAATTGCATTTCCCCGTTCTGGGTATATCCTGAAAGCATCGAATTCCATGAAACTAAATTCTTAGCCGGCATACCACCAAACATTTTCCTAGCATCATCTAACCTTCCAGCTTTTGCATACCCTGTAATCATTGCATTCCAGCAAGCTATATTACTTCTATCAGGAAGTGATTCAAACACATCTCTAGCCTTTTCAAGCTCCCCACTACGCGTGTAACAAGTTATCATCAATGCATAAGTAAAATGGTCTCTCTGAGGCATTTTATCGAACAGTTCACATGCTTTATCAACTTGACCATTAAACAAATACCCATTGATCATTGTATTCCAAGAGATTAAATTTTTAGACTGCATTTTCTCGAACAGCTTGCGTGCATTGATGATTCTACCATTCTTGGCATAGGCAGAAATCATAGAATTGTAGGTGACAGTATTTGGGTGTGTGATTCCGTTGAACACTCTGATGGCTTCATCTATTTGTCCCCTTTTCCCTAACTGAGTTATCTTCAGATTTTGCTGGATTATTGTTCTTCCTCTACTTAAACTTGCCATTCAAATATATTATTATCTTCCGAAATGTACTGCGCCTTATAACGAATCTAAAAAACAGAGCCAACTATAACCGAATTTAAAATTGGGGGCGAGTTATTTGATTATGAGCTTGACATGTGTGTGAGCATAACAGATAAAAATTTTGTAACTTGGAGATGAAGCAAAAATATATTTAATACCGAAATTAATTTATACATACGTTAAAACACGATATGTTTAAAATTGCAAAGATTGATAACCTTTGCATATTATACCCACGGGATTATTTATTAAAGAAAATATGGGGAGGGAACTTCACTCGGTCGGCCAACTGAAATACTAAGATTCTCGCAAATACAGTTGTTTTCTGATTAAGAAATGTTGGTTTCAACGCATTGCAGCAACATGATTTCTCTTCCATTTCAGAGTTTGGCTCATCTCCTCTGTTGCTTCAGTGATTCTCCAAGGTAAGTTGTACTTGGCCATTCTTCTCTTCCTTGCTTCCACTCCAATTTTGTCTCCATGATCCTGCAAAAAAGAGAAAGAAGTTATCAAACAAATCGTAATTTATTTAAATTTCTAATTTGTTCTATCTGTTGGGATCCTTCTATCACCTTGAATATATAATCTTTGGTAGGAAGCGTTTTGCTCTGATATATTAGGTGTAGGAAGCAAAGTGAAAATTATTCTCTTTGATTTATCCAAAGTGAGTCATTTTAGACATTGTAGTACTATTTTCTGTTGGTATTTAACAATTGAGCAAAATTTTGCAACATTTAACATCTTTCAAAACCCTTTTGCCTTGCTTTTGTCTATAAAGATTACTCCTAGTACCTTGTTGATGATGACAAATCCAATCTAGTTGTTTAGCATGATACCTCCAACTGCCGCACATCGCAATAATTTGGTGTACGCTTTATTATGTGACTCGACATGGATTTAATGAGAATCTTATGAGTTGTAACATCAAATTCCTTGCATCATACATCTCTCATTTATGTAGATTCAAATTACTCTTGAAAACCAAATGTCAGATTCTTTTACAGGAGAAGTCATACCTTGAGGCAGAGGCCATCATAAACATCACAAATGGGATAGTCCGCTGGGCAGCAATAGTTTGATCCATCACAACAAACACCGTTCTCATAGGGGCAGCAACCCTGCTCTAAGCACAAGCCTGAGAACTCTAACACACAGCAGCATGTTTGGTCTCCTGGACAGTAACTGAAGTCTCCACATTCACTTGGTTTTGGAGTAGGCGGTGGAGGGGATGGCGGGGGAGGTGGTGGCATGGCTGGAGACGGATAAGGAGATGGTGATGATTCTTTCGTTGGGTATGAAGCCAATGAATTAATGGCACAAACCCCATATGGCAAATTAGTGTTCCTTCTTATATATCCATACCCTTCCATTCCCCACTCTGTACCCCATGAGTTCTTGATAATCCAATAGTCATCATATCCATCAGAATCATATCCAACTATTACTACTCCGTGGGAGACCTTATTTGGATCATCAGAGCATTCTCCATCATATATTCCCTGAATTGACACCAACAGAAACAAAAAATCACATCGTTTTTGGGATTACTGACATGTGAAAATGGAGTAATAGAAAATAGTTACCCCTAGGTATAGTTGAAAATCAGGGCTGCTTCCGTCGATGGCCACACTAACAGGTTGTTGAGCAGCAGCACAAAGAAGTGCACTTTCCTCCTTTGGAACATCTCGGTATCCATCAATTGTTACAACCTTATGGTTCACCTATTCAGGAAAATATTTGAAGAATGATCAAGTTTAACAACTTGGAAACTGGATAGAAGACTTGATGTGAAATTGATCATCACATGCCTTGTTGTAATTGCAATGGCCTTGAGAATGGGCAGTGTATGCATAATCAGCTGCTGAATCAATGCCGCCGTTGTTTATCACCCATTCAAAAGCAGGGTCCATAAGTCCACCTTTACAGCCACTATTGTTTGAAGTATCACAATCAATAAGTTCTTGTTCAGAAAGGCTAATAAGTTCACCAGCAACTATTGCATTTATTCCCTCCATGGCTCCAGACGCCGAGAATGCCCAACAAGCTCCTGCAGAAGTTTTGCATAGAATCAAATACTATATTACTCCAATGATGTACATAAGTGCATATGCCATCTTATTGGAAATATTCATAGAGTTTTGGACCTTTTAGTACTATTGAATTGTGATTTGAGCTAACAAAAAGTCATAGTAAGACTGTAAGTTAGACCAATTTGCAGATTCAACTCATTTGATGTCTTTTATTTGGATTTCTTAGTACTTGATGCAAGGACAACAAGCTACCTAGAAGTAAAACATGTATTTAGTGTAAACCAATACTATAAATATATAAAACACAATGAAATATGCCTGAATACAACATCAAGCAATCATCTACAGAGGAGAGTCATGCTTAATGATTAAATTCAAGTACTCCACCGTTTCAATTTATCTTACTTTCCTTTTTAGTCAGTTCCATTAAAAAATCTACTAAACACAAGCTATAACAACATGAACTGACAATGGTAAAAGAAGACAAGGACAGTTACCACATTGTCCTTGGTCCTTCACCTTAGTGACAGCCCCATGTTTCCTCCAGTCCATTGAAGGAGGAGCATCACAAGAAAATGAAGTTGTTTCTTTTTCCGCTACCTTCATCCGAATAGTCTTTCTCTTGTTAAAGGGTATCTTAATCTTGGAAGTATGAACTTGTCTAAACTCTTCATTGCTCATATCAGCAAATTTTGTCAAACCAACCAAATAGTCTGAATCTGATTTCCTCTTGGAGTTCTTTTCCACTATATACTTCACATTCCTTTTAAAATTCTCCAACTTCATTTCTTCCTCTTTCTTGTTCATGTAAACTTTTCCATGCTTCTGTTTCCATTCTTGGAAGAGTTGGAACACTGTTTCTTCTGAAAGAGGCTCAGTTGGTCTTTCTAGTATTGGAAAATCAGTGGTAAAAGAAGAAACTTGAGATGATAATGCACCAAAGATCAAGAAAAGTGGGATAAGGAAAAGGAAGAGAGGAGGACTCTGTTTGCTTCCCATTTTTCAGTTACATTAAACAGTTATTGACTTTGTGATCATTCTAGGCCTGATCTCATTGTTTTATAGATCTAGCAAAAGAGTAAGTTACGTATACGGATAGTATAAATAATTTTTTCACTATCAAGATCACATTATTTTTAGTTGTAACACAAAAATACATCATATTGTCAAGATTTTACATTCCACATTTTTAGGAGACCTACCTATATAGATATCTTTAGATACCCTGATGGTATAAAAAAAATATTTACATCGCGATTCCAATAACTCTACGTAGGTTACATACATGAAAAACTGTGCTAGCTTTTTTCAGCTATATATGGTTTGAACTTCAAAGTGATGATTGAGGAAGGGTACAATGGTAGGTGTGGCTATTGGATATATAAGACACATTTTCTGGTATTTAACATGTGTTAATATAAATTACTTCAATAATGTATCGATGGGAAAACAAAGATTGTTTTTTTCTCTAGCTCAATTAGACCAATTAAGGTAGGAATACCGTGACAAAAATATATCACTAGTAAAGAAATAATTTCTCAAAATAAAGTCTTTTGATATATTGGAAGAAGTAATGTTTGCAGCTATAGATTAAGACAGGAAAATTGACTTATATATGCAGTAGTATTTGCAATGGAGCAACTGGTTAAGGCAGGAAATTGACTTATTACACTGTAATACGATTGTCTCGAAAAGTTGTGAGGGTAGTTATATCGTAAACTCGAAAAAAAAATACGCTGAGCTATATATTGGTAAGTTCTAGTTCATTCAATCAATCGACAATTTGTGAAGGACAAGTGCACTTAATCTTAGACTAAAGGATAAAAATAAGTTGCTAAAATTGAGTGAGTCTCTGCATATTAAGGACAGATTTTGATGGGTGAACCATAATAGTGTCAAAAAGACAGCAGAATTGTCCAAGGAACTGCGCTCGTAGTTTCAGTTACGCATTTGATTCATCAAAATACTTGGTATTAGAACCAAATATATTCTTGAGAATGATGAAAGGCGCGATAAGAATGACGAAAGACTCATTAGTTTGTCCCGTCGTATCTGCAACCAAATTGCAAGAATCTCAATCTCTGCACCTTCAGTGCCTTCTATGTCGTTTGTCAAACACAAATATCACGCCTTTGGAATTTTTGAAAGATCTGCACATTTGATAAGAGCATAAATATATGTTCCAACATGCATAGATAGAATGAGAGAAAGGGTTTGATTATAAATATGTAAATTAAAGAGTTATACCTTATGAGCACCATTCTCTGGCATTTTGAAACATTCGCAACCAGGGGCTTGGGCCTTTCTTTTCAACATCCCAATTTTTAGGATACCATGGATACTGCCACATCAAGAAACAGCGTTCTGGATGAGGCATCATCGCGAGATGTCTACCATCTGGAGAACAAATTGCGGCTACACCCAGAGGAGAACCGTTAGGATTGAAAGGATATACTTCTGTTGGTGTGCCATCATCATTGCAATACTTCACTGGCGCCAAGTTGGAGCCAAGAATATGATTGAAAATACTATCATCAGGGAAATAAGCTCTTCCTTCACCATGAGCAGCCCAAACACCTAATGTACTACCTTCCATACCTTTGAACATTATGGCTGGTGTTTCTTCTATTGTCACATTCGTGAAACGACATTCAAACCTTCCAGACTCATTATGTATGAACCTTGGCTGTGATGGATCCCCTCCGGCACCAAAAACACCTCCTACTTGGGGCCCTGGCACCCAACCCAATAGAGCCATAAGTTGGCACCCATTGCAAACTCCGAGGCTGAAAGTGTCCGGACGGTTATAAAATGCCTGAAATTGATTTAGAAGAGGCTCATTAAAGCGAATGGACGCTCCCCAGCCTTTGGCAGAATCAAGTACATCAGCATAACTAAAACCTCCAACAAACACAATTCCTCTAAATTCATCCAGTGTGATGAATCCATTGAGAAGGTCTGACATTGCAACATCCCATGGTTCAAATCCAGCAGCAGAAAAGGCTGCAGACATTTCTCTATCACCATTGCTGCCTTCCTCCCGGATAACTGCAACCTTTGGCTTTGAAATGGCAGTCATATACTTATCATCAGTAAATGTTGGCGTGAAAGATAGTTTCCACGAAGGTTCATGCCGATTTTTTAACCCTTCTTTTTCTAATTCTACACATGAATCCAGTCTTTGGAACTTTTCCAGTTGAAAGCTAGTCTCTTCCCACATATCCCTGAGCACAGAAGTTTCCTCATTCAAATGTGTAACCCCATCAACCTTCAATTCAACCATCGGAGATGAAGTAACTTGACCGATGATATTAGCAGAAACATCACCATGGTGGAGCTTTTCCAGAACTAAATCCACGTTTTTCTTGCTAACTTCAATGAGAAGGCCAAGCTCCTCTGCAAAAACTGTTTCAGGTATAGTGCTCCCAGAAGAGGTTAAATCCAAACGAATGCCACAGTTCCCTGCAAATGCCATTTCAAGAGCATTCACTATGAGCCCCCCATCACTGATATCATGACCCGCAGATATCAACTCATCAGAGATTAGGTTCTGAACCTCATTAAAAACAGTTTTAAGATAAGAGACATCATCCAAATCAGGACTTTCATCTCCAATTTGATCAAACACCTGGGCAAGAGCAGATCCACCGAGTCGTCGTTTTCCTCTGGCCAAATCAATATGAAGCAGCACACCATCATCTCCAAGCTTCAAGTCTGGAGTAACAGTCTTTGTTATATCAGGACATGTCACATAGGTACTGATGACTAGATTCCCTGGAGCTTTAACAACTTCCTCCGATGAGTGGGCTGCCATGGAAAGACTATCTTTCCCCCCATCAATTGCAATCCCAAGTTCAATCATAGCTTCAGAAAGAGCAACAGCAGCATCATACATTGCAGCTCCTTCACCATCTAATTTTGCAGCATACATCCAATTCCCACTTGCTTTAACATCAGAAAGAGATGTAACTTTCGC